AGAGATTATGAGTTTGGGTCACCATACCAGGCCCTCTCCTGTGCATTTTCACTGGCTGTGCCACATGCTTGAAATTCTCTCCCTGCTTATCTCCTGACCAAGTCTTGGCTAAAATCCCACCTTCTGCAAAAAGCCTTCCTTCATTCCTCCTTAGCTCTAGGTCCTTCTCTCTGTTTCTTCTCTCTCCAGTTTACCTGCACATACCTTGTTTCTAAATTGTGGTTTGCATGGTCTTTCTCCTATTAGGCTATAAGCTCCCTGGAAGTGGGTCTGTTTTTGCCCTTCTTTGTACCCTCAGTGTTTAATAACCCCCTGGCACTCAGTGGGCACTAATAAGTGCTGATTGACCTGATTTAACTTTGGAGTCAGAGGACCTGAGTGTGAATCCTGACTTTGCGTCTTCTGGGTGCTCACCATTTTGGTGCAAGACTTCAGGTGGACACCTGGTAGGTTTCACCCTCTTGTTCCTCAGACATGAACTCAGCCTCAGCCTCCCCAGTAGCAGGGGTCAATGCTCTGTCTTCTCCAGGGCTCCAGGGTGCCCCCCTATATCCCAAGCTGACAACGGTAAGTCAGGGAGCCTGCCTGTACAAGCGAGGCTCTGATCCTTAATTTCCTCCCAGGGAAGCCCAGGGGGTTGGATCCGATGATCCTTATGTCTAAGATTAATCCATGCCCCTCCATGTGCTAATGGGAAAAGGCAAACTCCCCTGGTGACGAATGTGCAATTTAAGAGGGGTCTTCTGGAGATGATGTCTCCCTCACCCCCCACACAGAGTTTTAAGGGACCCCAGTGGTCATCCACTCCGATAGAAATGGGGGCCACGAGTCCGTACATGAGGATCCAGGTGGGCCGCATTTTGATTTAGTTTTCAAATGTGCCAGTGTGTGTTTTGTTGCATTTTTATTTATTTGGTTAATTACTCCCCAATTACATTTTAATATGGTTTGGGTGACTTTTGGCAGCATTGCAGGACGAGGGCCTGACCTCTCCTGTTTAGTCTAACCCACACCTGAAAAACAGTCCCCATTATAATATCCCCCACCAAGGATCACAGAGCTCCTTCTCAAAGGCCAACCTATGACCTCCAGAGATGGCCCACTGCATTTATGGATTCTCTGACAGAAAGCCTAATGCTAACAAGCTTTGCTATGAAGCAGGCCAATCCTTCTAACAACAGACTTTCAGGCTGGCAGGTGGGCCAGATGGGCATTTCAGGGCCCAGAGGCTATTCAGAGACCCTCAGATCATGCTGACTGCCTAATTTGCCGGGCAGGGAACGTCATAGGAAGTACCAGCTTAGGAGCATGAGTAACACAGGGAAGCCAGGGGATCAGTGGATGGCTCTGGGGCAGAGGGAGCTTCCGGGAGGGAGAACTTTGGAGAGCAGCTTGTTCCCACGACCTTCTCTTGGGTCCAGATCTTAGAGCTGTCCACGGTCCGTTTACCAGAACTGGAGAGGAGAAGGAGGTCCAAGGAGGACTAGGCCTGGTAGTTTAACATGCACATTCACATCTCCCAGATTGCTCCCTTCCCTCCCTCTGTCTGATAATCCCAAATAATTCCAAAAGTTCTTAGACTAGGATCATAGAACACCAGACCTAGGCTAGACCTGAGAGATTGCTTGCTGTACCCATTTCATAGAGGAGGAAACTGAGGCCAAGGTATATTTGGTGATTTCCTATAGAGTGTAAATGCCTTGAGGGTGGGGCCTGCCCCATGTTTTGTAATTGTACTGGAGCCCAGCACAGTACTTGGTACAGTGGGTACTTGATTAATGTTGTGCAAGGTCACACTGGGTAAGCGACGGTGGGAACTGAAATCCAGGTCTCATAGGATCATTGCTTTAGAGCTAAAAGACACCTCAGAAGCCACCTAAGTCAACTTTCCTTTAACACTTGAAGAATATAATAGCTAATGACAACAGCAACTTTGTCTAGTGCCAGGCACCTAAGCGCTTTACATATATTATCTCTTTTGATCCTCACAACAACCCTGGGAAGTGGGTGTTATTATTACTCCCATTTTACAGATGAGGAAACTGAGGCAGACAGGTTAAGTGACCCAAAGTCATACAACTAGTGTCTGTGGTTAGATTGAACTCAGATCTCCCTGACTCCAGGCTCAGTGCTCTATCCAATGTGTCACCTAGCTGCCACTAAATGGCATGTCTTAGGACCCACGGTGTAAGACTCAGAGGTGGGGGAGTTTGAACCCAGATTTCTGATTCTAGGGGGAGTGCTGTTTCTACTGTACCACACATTCCCTCCTCGACTCCTAGGCTTCTCCCCCAACATCTTATGGGCTTTAGCCCATCAGCAGTGACCCTCATCCCAGAGGACCATCTGGTCCCAGAGGCCAAGGTTGATTGACCTTGGGCAATCAATGAACAAGCATTTATTAAGCACCTACTACATGCCAAGACTGTGAGATGCTTCTAGGCGAGGGACAATCAAACTCCACTAAACGGAATCTTGGCCCCAGGGGCCGAGAAGTGATAACTCGTCACATTAGAGGTCTGTCAAATATGGAAATTAATGGAACACTCTGAACTCACAGAGGCAGGCAGGTCGATGGACCAGAATCCTAATACCTCCTAGGCCATTCACGGCTACAACCTGGGGTAGGTTACTTCTCTCTGGGCCTCAGTTTCTCCCTCTGTCAAGTGAGCTGTTTAATTTAGCTGGACTCAAAGGTCCCGACTTTCCATGATTCTAGTCTAAGGATTGTGGGGGGTAGGGTCAAGGGGTAGCCTGAGAGCAGTGCGTGTGCATATAAAACCGCCAGTCAATTTCTTCTTCCTCCAGCCCACTCTGGGATTTGGATATAGAGGAAAGTGATCAGGGCCTCAGCTCTTCCATCTGTAAAATGGGAAGCCCTAACATTCAATAATACTGTGACTCTCTGGGGTTGGTCCAGTGCTTGGGTTCACCTGCCTCCTAGCCCAGCTGGACAGGGGGTGAGGTCACTCCTAAAAACCTCCAGACAAACAAGAAGGCTCCACAAGTTTTGCCAAGAATCCATTTTGGTCCTCCACTGTCTCTTCCTAGAAAGAGACTGCTGTCATTGCTGCTAGTTATATATATAGATATATATGTGTGTGTGTGTGTGTGTGTGTGTGTGTGTATGTGTGTATATGTGTATATGTGTGTGTATATGTATATGTGTGTATATATGTGTGTATATGTATATATGTGTGTGTATATGTATATATGTGTGTATACATATATGTGTGTATATATGTGTATATGTGTATGTATATATGTGTGTATATGTATATATGTGTGTACACATATGTATGTATGTGTGTAATATATGTGTGTATATGTATATGTGTATATGTGTATATGTGTGTATGTGTGTGTATATATGTGTGTATATGTATATGTGTGTACATATATATGTGTGTGTACATATATATGTGTGTATATATATGTGTGTGTATATATGTGTGTGTATGTATATATGTGTGTGTATATGTATATGTGTATATGTGTGTGTATATATGTATGTATATGTATATGTGTGTACATATATGTGTGTGTGTATATATGTGTGTATATATATGTGTGTGTATATATGTGTGTGTGTATATATATGTGTGTGTGTGTGTATGTGTGTGTGTGTGTGTGTGTATATATGTGTGTGTGTGTGTGTGTGTGTGTGTGTGTGTGTTTGTTTTCAAATGGACCAGCATTTGAAAGCTCCCTCTGAGTTGCACCAGTCGTGCTATGATGGAGTGTGAGCCATTTCACCCTTGTAAGCCTCTGTTTCCTCATCTGTGAAATGGGCCAATAACACTTTTAGTGCCTTCCTCAGAGCTATGGTGGGGCTCCAGTGAGATCATGCACAAAAAATACTTTGTGAACATTAAAATGCTGCTAGAAGGTCAGTTAGCATTTTATCTTCATAGAATATCCCTTTGGTCTCCTTCCTTTTCTCCCCTGGTGTCATTACCAGATTGGAAGGCAGAAGACCCAGGGTTAAATCTTGGCTTAATCACTTATCAGCTGTGTCTCCTGGGGCAAGTCAATTTGCCTCAATGAGTCTGTTTCCTGGTCTGCAAAATGGGGATAATAATGTCTGCACCACCTGCCTCACAGAGTTATCACGAATCTCAAAGGTTAAAACCTTGGACTTGGGATCCGAGGGATGTTTGCTCTCTCGGGTTTGTTTGTTGGCAAGGGCTACTTTAAAGCTTTGTGGTGTAGTGGGAAGCACCCTGAATTAGGAGTCAAATGACCTGAGTTTAATGTTCTGCTAGACATTCCCTTTTACACCCTATGCCTGCTCCCTGACCAGCCGAATATGTTTGATCTCCTGGCTGCTGCCCAAGCAAGGCAGTCCATCTTGTGCCTCCGAGCATTTTCCCTGGCTGTCTCCCCTCTTGGTCTTTGCCTCCCGGTGGCTTTCCTGACTTCCTTCAGGTCCTGCATAAAACCCCACCTTCCCGAGGAAGCCTTTCTGAATCTCTCTTAATTCTAGTCCCTTCACTGGTAGGATTCTTCTTTCTACGTGTTAATGGTCTAGAGGCAGCTGTGTGGCACAGTGGGTAGAGCTTGGAGTCAAGTTCAAATTCTGTTTCAGAAGTATGCTAATTGTATGACCCTGATCAAGTCACTGAGTCTCAGTTTTCCTCATCTTTAAAATGGGGATAATGATAGCACTTCCCTCACAGGGCTGTGGTGAGGATCTATGTAAATAGCTATATGATGTTATTATTATGCCCTAGGCCAGGAACTCTGGCTTTTGAGTCAGAGGACCTGGGTTCCAATCCCAATCTGCCATCTGTGCGACTGGGCAAGTGTCTCTCCTTCTCTGGATGTTGGATAAAGTGAGGAAGTTGGTCTTTCTAGCACTAAGCCCATGATTCTTTCCTGCCTGTGCTGGGCCCAATCACCCTCCATTAAAGAGCCAGAGCATTAAAGGACCAGGGCATCCGTGGCACCTCCCTCTGCCCGCTTCCCACCTTGGAATAAAGACAGCTTGGACGCCAAGATGTTGAGAACCAACCAAAGCACCATTTATGGAGGCCCCGAAGAATTCCTATGCACCCCCACGGAACACAAGCGGGTGGGAGCCCAGCCAAGGCTGGCCAGCGGCTTTGAGTCCCTGGCTTCTCCATGGGCTCGGTCCTTGGTGCCCTGCAGAATGAGGTCTTTCTGATGGCGTCTCCCCAGGACCTCAGTGCCAGGCACCTGGTCTGTTATCTGGCTGGCTCAGCTGCTCTGAGACCCCAGAGAGCTGGCAAGCTGAGCCCCTGCTCTCATGTTCTGGGGCAGTTGCTTCCAGACCTGAACCCTGGAGCTGGGATCCTGGTGTCTGCTGGTCCAGAAGGCCAGCTTCCCCAGGCTGTTTGCAAGCTCCCAACCAGGTCCACTTTAGTAATATGTTAAATAGATTTTTGTGCAATATCCCTTAAATAAATGTGGATACCCTCTCCCAGGCAACTCCCTTCCCTCCCACAAACCCTGAATATATTATCTTACTGACTGGGTGGCCCCTGCTGGAGAGGACGAGTCATCTCTCCTCTCTCTCCCTGACCCCACCAGCCCCACTATGAGGGGGAAGACCTTGGCTCCTGGCTGCCACCATTCTTGGGCCCTGAGGGGAAGCCCCTTCCCAGGAAGCCCAAAGTGGGCCACATCGGGAAAGTGTTTCCCCATTGCAGATTAAGGGAGGGCTTGTATTGAGGGGTGTAGGGGGAGGGTGTCATGAGGTGAGGACCCCATCTATCCAATCTCCACCCTAGCCAAGGCTCTCTAGTAGGGGAGAACCTTCTCTCTTTGTCCTTCCCTTGAGAGGGGGACATGACTTACCCAAGGTCATGCCAGGAACTGGAGATGGGAGAAGAGTCCCTCTTCCCACTGCTCTCCCCATAAGGCCATCCTGCCTCCTAACTGTTCCAACTGGGGCCCCGGCAGAAGGGCCAGCTTCATTTCCTTAGTTCAGTTTTCCATCCCTGCCCCCACCTTCTCTTTTTATTACTAAACCTTCTGAGTTCTCTAGGCATGGTGGCATGGGGAAGGGGAAGATCCTTGACCCTCAGTCCTGACCCTTTCGGGTCTTTGTTTCACTCCTAGGCCTTTCATCTTTCTCCCACAATGTACTGGGTTTCTCTTTCTCATCAGATGTGACAGAGATGGAGTTGGCCACCTTGGTCATCCCGAGAAACCCAGTGAGAAGGAATGAGAAGGGCTAGAATGGAAGGAAGGAAGGAAAACGGAAGTGGGAGGTAGAAGTGGGACCCTAGGACCCCAAAAAGGGAAGAGAATTGTCTGTCAGAGCTGTTCCCGGTGGAACAGGGATTCAGACCCAGTACTGGCCATTCTTTAGGGCAGGGTTGGGTGTCCGGCAGAACTGCAGCAGCTCTGGGTCCTGGTGGCCCCTGGCCTCTGGCCCTTTGCCAGGCACCGAGGTCAGCGGGATGGTCTGGCTGGGGTCGGTCTTGCGGAAGGTCTCGGCATCGCTGGCCATGCCATTGCGAGGCTTGGCCGACAGACCCTGGACGTTGTGTTTCCCCGTCTTGTTGCGCTTGCGGAGATAGAAGAGCAGGGGCAGGATGAGGGCCAGCAGAAGCAGGATAAGGCAAATGGGGATAATAATGCTGAACATGTTGGCTTCGATGAAGCCTAGGAAGGTGCCCCCTTCTGCAGGGGTGGCACTGGTTGGGGTTGCCTGGCTGTGCGCGCTGGTGGGGGCCGCTCCTGCCTCCCTGACATTGGGGGTGGGTCTCTCAGGCCCCTTGGGCCCTGTCACCGTCCGGGAGGAGCTGTCCTCTTCACGGGAGCCCCCGCTGGTTTCAGAAGAGCCGGGAGCGATGAGCAGAGTCACACCATAGGGCCGGGATGCATTGTAAGGCTCTGACACGTAGTCAAGAGAAGCCACAGCCGGGGGCACGCCCCTGGCCGAGAGCTCAAAGGTGATGCCATCATGCAGCATCGGTGGCTCCCTACCTTCTGGCTTGCTTAGCTCCAGCCCAATCAACCCCTCTTTGAGGTCCTGCTGGGTGAACAGCTCCACTGGCTGGGCCTGAGGCACCTGGTCCCTGTCCTTGGAGATGCGCACTATTTGGCCTCTCCTCGGTCCCTGGAGGATCCGGAACTGGGGCACGCTCTGCGTCTGGTTGGCCAGCTCCCCAGCATCCAGGATGCCCGTGTCCAGACGAAGAGTGGTACCCTGGGGCCACGGTTCACCAGCCTGTGCCCGCACCAACGCCCGGACAGTCACGTTCACTATCGCCGATGCGTTGGCGCCTCGGGCGAGGGAGAGGAGGTGGAACTGATCCGAGGCTGAGGTGAAATTGGTGAAGGAAAAGGCCACTTCCCCTTGCTCCACTTGCTTCTGGCTAAAGCTTGTCTTGGGCTGCCTGTTGACCAGCACGTGCCCGTGTTGGGGCGTATGGGTGATGGAATAGGTGGCATCTGGCTCTTCTTGGTCAGATATCACGAAAAGGTGCTGCTGGGTCAGTGGGGCCCAGTTCAAGCCCTGGGGGATCTCTAGAAGTGACCGGGTCCGTACCTCAATGGAGGATGGCAGGACGTCCACAGACAGGGAGGTGTCCACAGGAGGACTCGCCCCATCGGAAATGCTCAGCTGGAAGATGCCCAGGGTGCTGCTGCCGTTGGCCGTGAAGATCAGCCTCCCGGCATCCACATCAGCCTGGGTGAACCGAGTCACGGGGGAAGGCTGGCTGCCCGTCAGCAGGAGGTAGCCATTGTGGGGCGCCCTCCTCACTCGGTACTCAATCTCTTCAGGGGAAGAGTCTGGATCCACGGCACTTAGTTGAGCCCGGGAGAGGGCAGCATGTGTACCCCGAATGATCTGTAGAGGTCTGGAAGCCTGGGGCTGGGGTGGTTTCTCGTTGACGTCCCGCACAGTGATTTGGAAGGTCTCAGAGATCACAGGTCCAGGCTGCGCCGTGACAGGATGAGTGGAATCTTGTTGCCCAGCCTGGATGGAGGCTTGGAAATGGAAGCCATCTCTCTGGGTCCCTGAGCCCCTGTGGATGTAGGCCAGCTGCCCCCTGGCCAGGTCAGACTGCAGGAAGTAAGGCCGGCCACCGCTCAGCTGTTTGTTACCCACCCACAGCTCCCCGTGGGCTGGCAATTCTGTCACTAGGAAGACTACGTTGTGGGAGGGCCGATCCGAGGCTGGGATGCTAGCCAGGAGGTTGGCGGCATCCAGGGATGCCCGGGTGATCTCTGCCCTCTGACCCTCTGGGACCCAGAGACCTAGGAAAAAAGGGAAAAAACTCCAGTAAGTCAGGGCTGTTCTTGATCCCTGGAGGGTAGGGGGCAGGGGAAGAGGCTGGAGACAAGGACTGAAAGGAGGAGGAAGTGTGTCCCAGATCTGTGATGAAAGAGTGAAAGAATTCATTCATTGAAGCAGGGGCTGGTAAACTGAAGATTTTGAGCTCAGTTCGAGCCTTTTCTGATTCCCTCAGCTGTTGGTGCCCCCCCCCCAATTATCTAGTATTTATTTTGTATATTTCAGGCTGCTTCATTTTTACCAAACACTCTGCTCTTCACACAGGGGTTCCCTGAGGATCCCCATCTTTGTGAGCTGTTTAAGCATACTCAGGGGTACAGCTTGTCAGATTGAGGGCTCCCTGAGATGAGGTAAGGGTCTTTCCTAACAGCCTGGGAGCTCTCTGAGGAGAGGGACTGCTTTTTCTCTTTCCTAGTGGGTATTTCTTTTTTCTTTTTCTTTTTCTTCTTTTTTTTGGCTAGGCAATGGGGTTAAGTGACTTGCCCAGGGTCACACAGCTAGTAAGCACTATGTGTCTGAGGCCGGATTTGAACTCAGGTCCTCCTGAATCCAGGGCCAGTGCTCTATCCACTGTGCCACCTAGCTGCCCCCCAGTGGGTATTTCATGAGCCTTTCTGATGGGCTAGAAGTTGGTTACTTTTACTTAGTTGATCTGGGAGCAGAACTTTCCCTACCAGGTTTTGGGACTGTACATTTGAAAGAGAGGAGGAGAGAGGGAAGCTTCTGGTAGCCACAGAATTTCTACCCTTGCTTCTGCCTACAGGATACCTGAGGCAAAGAACAAGAGTGTGAAGAACATCATGGGACAGTGGTCCACGTCAGGCTGCTCAATGGCCCCTCTGCTTGAATCTTCTAGGTTCTTTGACTTTCCAAGGCTTTGAGGGGAGCCACTGGGCTGCCCACCAGGTAACATACCATCTTCCCTGAGGCTTTCCCATCTTACCCAAACTAGCATCAGTTCCCGTCAAACCCACAAAGAGCTTTCACCTTCATTCTTCCAGAGGTGACTGGGACGCTGGGAACAGGAGACCTCAAAGGACACGGTAATGGAAAGGCTGATGGCGACATCTCGGGCAGGGGGTGAGGACACCCGGAGGCCTAGAGTGTCCTGGGCCAGCCAGAAGGGTTCCGAAGGCATCTCATGTTCATAAAGGATCTCTCCCGCGTCCACCTAGAAGAGAAAAATCATTTTGGATCTGTGGTTGGCAGGGGGGTGGGACTTGAGGTTTCAGGGAAGTGGGTATCCCCCTCAAAGCAGGAAATTAAGAGGTTAGGGTTTCTGTGTTCCCTCATCATACTATAGGCTTCTAAAGTTGAGATGGCTTCCCCCTGGTAAGCTAAGCTACTCAAGGACAAGGGGTGTGCCTCCCAGTTCAGATGCTGGGCTAAGGGAAAGAGGCTATGTCTCTTTAATTAGAATGAGAGTTTCCCAGAGTATGGATCCTTTTCCTTTCTCCATTTACCTCTCCAATGCCCAGGACAAAGATCTGTAACAAGTAACATTATTGGCTCTTCAATGCCAGTGAGCTTGTCGGATCCTTCTCTGAAGGGTTGGGTGGAAAGATGGGAAGTCCAGAGCACTTGATGCTGTCCAGACAAGGCAGGGCCAGGGAGGAGGATTTGAGGAGCCTGGGAGGGGCTGGGGAATCCAACTAGTGTGCTACTGGGCAAACACCCATGTTAGCATCCTAATCTTATATCATCCTAGTGCCAAGCACAGAGTAAATGCTTCATAAATGCTTGTTGACCGATCAGGTAACTCTTCAGCTCCTGCACTTGGCTAAAAAAAGTTTAGGCAATCTTTGATCACATTACGAAAGACAGCATGTCTAGGTCTAGGTTGGTAATAAGGTTCATTTCCTGGTCAGATGACATCTGGAGTATAGTGGACACTACATTTTAAGAAGGTCACTGACAAACAGGAACCCATGGGAGGAAGACAACCCAACCAAAATGGTGAGAGGACTAGAGACCGTGGCATCTGGTCCTAGGGAAGAGATGAACTGGGGAGAGTGAGGTGAGATTGTGGTGGGGAGGTGACTGATGTGGAAGCATGCCACTCCTGGTTTATAAAAACATATGAAATAATACTTTTCTCTGGTCTAAAAAGCCCTTTCTAGACTTGGGTTTCAGGGGAGAAAACTCTTTGGAAAGGAAGGTGATAGGTTGAGGACAAAAAGGTCTTGCATAAGGGAGTAGGCTAAAGAGGGTAACCCAAATTTAGAATAAAGAGTAACTCTTTGACTTAATATTTTCTTTCCCACCCCTGAAGGTTATTGACTCATCGAAAGGCTATTGCTAGTTCTTTATTCCCAGAAGGAATTCCCTGAAGATCCACTCACAGGAAGTGCCTTCTATTCCCTTCAAAGGGAAGGACCCTTTTCTGTTCCAAAGATATTGCCCTTGGGAGGAGACCAGTTGATTTCTTCAGGGGAATGGTCCAGAAAAGAATGGCATGGTGGCTTATTACCAAACTGGAATGTTTTTATATATTGTGATTTTCTTCTTCAAGATTCTTATGGTGGGGGACAGAGCCAAGATGGCAGCATGAAAGCAGTGACTTGCTTGAGCTCTCCCCCAAACCCCTCCAAATACCCACAAAAAATGGCTCTGAACAAATTCTACAGCAGCAGAACCCACAAAAAGAAAGAGTAAAAGAAATTTCCAGCCCAAGACAGCCTGGATGGTTGATCGAAAAGGCTTATCACACAGGGTGGGTAGAGGAGCGCAGTTCGGCGTTGGGCGCGCAGGCTGCAGCGAACCTAGAGCAGGCCTCAGAGGACTGAATCACAGGCAGCTGTGGCAGCTTCCAGACTCCTCAATCCACGAACGCCAAAGACAGCTTAGAAGGTCAGTGGGAAAAGTCTGTTTTTGCGGTGAGAAAAGAGCTAGGTCAGAGTCAGTTTCAGAGAGTAGAGCGTGGGTGCCAGGAGGTGGCTGTGTCCTGAGCTTCAGGCCCACAGACTGAGGGGGAATCAAGAGGCTGATCAGAGGGGGACTGCAGGGATCTCTTTGCCAGTGCTGAGGCAGGAATCTCTTGCTTTGCCCGTGCTTGGATCTGGGTCACAGTTCTGGGTGGCGGTTCTGGGGTGAGGAGGAACGCTGGCCAGGTGGAGCTTGTAGTGGCTGTGGAGAGAAACCCCTCCTCACAGTTCCAAGAGAGAAAAGACTGCTTGTGGCCGGTCACTCAAAGACCAGAGCTCAGGCCAGGAAAAGAGTAAACACCTCGACCCTTATCATACCACCTTGGAAGAACTGAAAATTTACAGGTCCCTACAAGTATCTCTGAAAACAGCTATACAAACCCCCTAAGCTTGGGACAGTACATTCTCCACATTGGAAGCAGACTCTTACCTTAACGAAGAGCTTAAAACTCAAGTAATTGGCTGGGATCATGAGCAAAACTCACAAAAAGAGTCAGACTATATTATCTTACTTTGGTGACAAAGAAGATCAAAATATACAACCAGAAGACAACAAAGTCAAAGCTCCAAGAAAAATATGAATCAATTCCAGGCCTTGGAAGAGCTCAAAAAGGGATTTTGAGAAGCAATTAAGGGAAGTAGAGGAAAAACTGGGAAGAGAAATGAAAGTGATGCAAGAAAATCATGAAAAACAAGTCAACAGCTTGCTAAAGGAGACCCAAAAAAATACTGAAGAAAATAACACCTTAAAAAATAGCCTAACCCAAATGGCAAAAGAGGTCCAAAAAGCCAATGAGGAGAAGAATGCCCTAAAAAGCAAAATTGGCCAAATGGAAAAGGAAGTCCAAAAGCTTACTGAAGAAAATACTTCCTTAAAAATTAGAATAGAGCAATTGGAAGATAGTGACTTTATGAGAAATCAAGACACAGTAGAACAAATCCAAAAGAATGAAAAATTAGAAAACAATGTGAAATATCTCATTGGAAAAACAACTGACCTGGAAAATAGATCCAGGAGAGAGAATTTAAAAATTATTGGACTATCTGAAAGCCATGATCAAAAAAAGAGCCTAGACATCATCTTTCAAGAAATTATCAAGGAAAACTGCCCTGATATTTTAGAACCAGAGGGCAAAATAGAAATTGAAAGAATCCACCGATCTCCCCTGAAAGAGATCCCCAAAGGAAAACTCCTAGGAATATTGTAGCCAAATTCCAGAGTTCCCAGGTCAAGGAGAAAATATTGCAAGCAGCCAGAAAGAAACAATTCAAGTATGGTGGAAACACAATCAGGATAACACAAGATTTAGCAGCTTCTACATTAAGGGACCACAGGGCATGGAATATAATATTCCAGAGGGCAAAGGAGATAGGATTACAACCAAGAATCACCTACCCAGCAAAACTGAGTATAATCCTTCAGGGGAAAAAATGGTCATTCAGTGAAATAGAGGACTTTCAAGCATTCTTGATGAAAAGACCAGAGCTGAATAGAAAATTTGACTTTCAAATACAAGACTCAAGTGGAACATGAAGAGGTAAACAGGAAAGAGAAATCATAAGAGACTTATTAAGGCTGAACTGTTTACATTCCTGCATGGAAAGATGATATTTATAACTCATGAGACCTTTGTCAGTATTAGGGTAGTGGGAGGGGAAAAATTATATGTATGATAGATAGATAGATAGATAGATAGATAGATAGATAGATAGATAGATAGATAGATAGATAGAGGGCACAGGGTGAGTTGAAGATGAAGGGGTGATATCTGGAGAATAAAATTAAGGGGTGAGAGAGGATTATACTAGGAGAAGGAGAAAGGGAGAGGTAGAATGGGGTACATTATCTTGCACAAAACAGACAAGAAAAGGTTCTTACAGTGGAGGGGAAATGGGAAGGTGAGAGGAAATGAGGGAATCTTATTCTCATAGGATTTGGCTTAAGGAGGGAATAACATACACATCAATTGGGTATGGAAATCTGTCTTACCCTACAGGAAAATAGGGGAGAAGGGGACAAGAGAGCAGGGGGATGAGAGAGAAGGGCAGATTGGGGTAATCAGAAGGAAGTACTTCTGAGGAGGGACAGGGTCAAAAGAAAGAATAGAATAAATGGGGGGCAGGATAGGATTAAGGGAAATAGAGTTAGTTTTTCACAACATGTCTACTATGGAAGTGTTTTGCATAACTGCACATGTATGGCCTGTATTGACTTGCTTGCCTTTTCAATGAGGGTGGGTGGGGTGGGAGGAAGGGAGAAAATTTGGAACCCAAAGTTTTAAAAACACATGTTTAAAAAAAATGTTTCCACATGCAACTGGGAAATAAGAAATACAGGAAATGAGGTACAGAAATCTATCCTGCCCTACAGGAAAATAGAAGGGGAAGGGGATAAGAGAAAGGGGGGGGAGAGAGATAGAAGGGAGGGCAGACTAGGGAAAGGGGTATTCATAATGCATGCCATCTTGGGGTGGGGGGAGGGGCAAGATGGGGTGAAAATATGGAATTCAAAATCTTGTGGAAGAAAATGTTGAAAACTAAAAATAAATAAATAAATATAAGACAGAAAAAAAATAAAAGTAAAAAAAAGATTCTTATGGTACCTTAAATTTTCTTGGAACAGAGCCATATTGGAGGACATGGGAGAACTATTTTGGATACCCATCTAAGCCAGAAATGGTTTGGATATTAGATTAACATTGAATTTAACAAAATTGTTTCTGGCAGGCATGCCTGAAATATAGAATACAGTATAGATGTTTTCATTCTTTGACACATATGTCTTCAATATTTGAAAGACTGTCACGTGAAAGAGGGAATAGGTTTGTTCTGCTGGGTCCCAGAGAATAGAATAAGAGAGGATGGGTAGATCGATGTTGCTGAAAGATGAATTTTGCCTCAGTATAAGGGGAAAACTCTCTAATTGTTATAGCTGTCCACTGTTGTGGACATTCATTCTCCATCACTACAGGTCTGGCTTTTCCACTAAGGTTAGGCTGACTCCTTGTTGGGAATAGGAGGACCGTCCTTTTCAGGAAGGCAGAGATGACATCAGAGAAGTTTCTACCCTGGAGAGTCTGCTGTTCTAGGCTGTGTTTTCTTGTAAATAAATACCCCAGGCTCAGTGAAGTTATTTTGGGGGCCCCTGGGGAAAGCGGGAATTATGCCAATAAAATTCCTTTTCCCATCTCTCTTCCCAGGGTCCCAGGAACCCTGGGGAAATCTTCCATTTCTCAGGTGACAAAGT